GCTAATATTCATGTTTACAATATGCATATGATGGCTAATTTGTGAATATTACCAGAAACATTTTGATTGAATTGTTATTTGAAAGGTTAAAGATTAGTAACTATATGTCTTCCCCTATTTTTTATCTAACATCTTAGTATTACCACGCTTACTCATTTCCTCACTCATTCATTGCTCACTGGTAAATAAGTATCACTGGTGTTTCAAGTAAACTCTTTACTCTCTCCTTTTTCATTTCTTTGCCTCTTCCTTTCCCTCTCTTTTCTCTTGTCCTCTTCATGAGATAATAATTTCTTCTCTGTGAAAAGTGTTCAAATTCACTCCTTCTTTTATTTTTCCATTTCTTTGATATTTTTTGCTTCATTCGTTGATTAATATATGAAAAAAAAAAACGAGAAGAAGAACGAGTAAAAATGAAAGTTTTCCCTAATTAATTTACTTATGATTATACATTAATTTAATATTGTTCATGTCGTTAATTTGTGAACGTATATTGATTTTGTGCCAAATATTTTCTTTTTTTTATTGCATTAATTTCAAATTGTTGTTAGTCTTTGGTATATTATGCTATGCTAACTAATTCATTGCTATAATAATTTCATATCAATCAACAAAATAATTCCGATATTTTCAGAAATGATAATGGCAAAAATGTGAGAATATTTTAAATTGTATGAATCATTTCAGCAATGATAATGCATATATTTTTCTATAAAGGATAGCAATTTTACAAATGATAAAATCTATCATTATATGAAATAATTTTTGTAGGTTTTTCTTTTTCCTTTATCATTTCGAAATAAACGATAATGATACTATTTTCCGGACAGTTGCTCTATTTCATCCTGTCACTTTTTTCCGTTTTCTCAAACTTTTCCGGTTTAGTTGATGCGCAAAAACGACGAATTATTCGTTTATTAACTCCATTATCAAAGAAAGCATCCAGTAATGGTCAACAATTATTTCAAAATATTGCAATGAATGAAATGCAAGATATCGATACCATTTATATGCAATTGTCTAATTGGGCAAAAAATGAAGGAACCAATTTTATGGTTAGTTTAATTTTACAATCCTAAAAATAAAATGTTTTAAAATTTCTCCTAAAGTTTATCCAAAATATTTCACACTGGAAATATTTACGCCATCTTGTTAATGATGATTTTTCCTTTCGTCTATATTATTATATGTTTGTTAAAATTTGCCCATTGTATTAATTATGGAATTTGAAATTACATAATATTCATTTTTGTCGACAAAAAAAAAAACTTTGCCTTTCCAAAGGCAAATCAATTGAAATATTTTTGGAAACTTTTTTTTTTTCCAGAAGGTATTTGAAGAAAATTTGAAAAGAGTCGAAAAAGAAGCTTATGAAAAACGTGACGAACTTGGAGTCGAAATTGATCAATTACCATCACTGGTAATAGATGCTATTCAAATTGTTGATATATTTCGGCAGGATCCGACTAGAAGTGCTCTTGAAGAGAAGAAAATGGTTAGTTCAAATTAATTAAGTAAATTTAAAATTTCCGTCTTATTTTTATTTTTTATTTTCAACAACTTATTTTTGGAAATAATAATGAATTCTTTAGAAATATTTTATTGAATTGTCATTTAACGCAATATATTTTTTCATTTCTTTTATTGCTTTCACTCTTTTACTTTGTTACTTACTTTATGACACATTCAGTAAATTCGTTGAAACTATTTTATTGAATTTCAATTTTGAATTTTCATTTACTACCTTTTTTCTTCATTTTTCAACAACTTCTATTCATTTATTTTTCCATTTTATTTCATCATTACTTTTGGCTTTTTTTATTTTATTTTAGTATTACTTACTGATTTCCTAACCCTACCCTTGATTTGCAATATTTTTGTTTTACAAGGGAGACTTGTTATTGTCATAGACTTGTTATTGCTCATCTTCATGAGGCTTGAACTTGGCTTATTTGAATTTTAATTTAAAAACAAAATGTAGTTTAATGAGTCGAAAAAGCTTGACAAATTT